TATTAAAATAATCAAATAAATAAATAAATAAATCTATATTTATATTGATCCCAGAAGGGCAACTTGGTTTACAATGACAAACATATATACTTATATAAGTACATAATTGTAAATGCATACATACATAAATACATACACATACATAAATGCAGAATACTACATCAATAAATAACAATTTCACAACCATGCCATTGCTGGTTAATGGTGAATGAAGTAAATTAAAGTTTTATTAAAACTGCGAGCAGAGATTTTCACGGCACACCGGAACAGCACTCTCTCGTCTCGCCAACGAACAACGAGCGAGAAATTCCGAGAGTGTTGTGGAATCAAATTGTTTACCTGTGATACCGGAATGAAAGAGACATTCTTCTGATTGTTTTCACGAATGCACACGCTTAGAGCAACCAAGCATGTTTGTTTATTTGAGTAAAAAGGTGAGAGAGTTGTATTATTTTTGAAAGATAGTTTGTGATGTCATTCATTAGAAATTTTGTTGTGGACTAACAGTGATTTGTCGCCGGCAACTTTACCGACGTGCTAACAGATGCATGGTTGTAGCCTAGATCTAGATCTCGCTAGATCTAGAATCTAGATCTAGATATTAGATCTACACGTAGAATCTAGATATCTAGATCTAATTAAATTTGGTATTAACTGTTAGGTTAATACGTGATATTACCTTTAGCTCATTGTGGTTGATCGGTCCTGGTAACAGATATTTCGACACTATTAAACAGCTGCATTGTTTAGTCCTTTTCTACATTTACAATGGCAATATATGAAGTTTTAAATGCTAGATTCTAGATCTAAATCTCTAGATTCTTTATCTAGAATTTAGAACAAGGCTGGCCAAGATCTATAGACTTCAGAGACTGGAGGCCAAGAAAGTGAAAGGTTAAATAAGAATTCACAAACACCTGTGGCTGTTTGACTGTGTAAAAACTTAACCATTCTTATCAAAATCAAAGATGAAACGGTACTAAATCAACTAGATCTAGATCTAGATCTAGATCTAATTAATATTTTTTTATAACGCTGAACCCCATGAAATTGATTATCTAAACATTATGAGCATCTGCTCATCATTGGCTTCACGATCACCCATTCTCGGACACTACAAACTACAACGGTATGGCTGTAAGATTAGGTCCAAAATAAGAAAAATTGCTAATTTACTTAGGCAGCCCTTCATTTCCCAAGGACGCAACATCAGAGATCTGATCGAACCCCCAAACCCACAGCCTTACAATTACGACTATCTACTTACTTTCTCATAGTTTTTCATGTCTTGTCTGTGATAGAAGCTTTCTTTTTGTTTTCTGCCAAAGAGGTTTTTTATTTAATATTAGTAGAGCTCATGGCTGTGACATTGCTCACATTTATAAACAAACTGGGGCTGCTTGTGGCTTGTGCCCATTCCAGGGGGCTGAGTGGCCATGTATAATATAAGAGTAGAATAGAGACAGCGGCGTCATGCTTCGCGTCTTTCGCAATGCCTAGGTCTTCATAGAATGTGACGCATCGAGCTCACAGCGAACATTATCATTTTGTGACTTACTGACTGTGTTTTCTATTCTTAAAAGGATACTTCTATACACTTATAAAATGGATTACTTTAGGTACATCATGTTGGCTACATTCTCATTTTAATGATCTACTGATGCTGGAAGATGAGATTGTATTCGTCAATTTTTGACGTCATGTTCTACATCTTTGTGGATATCTGTCCCCGATCAGTTGTTCTTGATGGTGTAACATCATCTCGCAGAAAGTCAATTATGATTCCATTATATCATTTGACTGATGTGGCTGTCTCCTGGCAACACTGCAAGCAAAAAATCACTGGCGTAATACAGTTAGTGTTTACTTTAGGGCTCTTCATGAAGGGTGTTAAGAAGACTGGGTTCATTTATTCAATATAATTCATGATTGTCTAATAATGAGCAATTTATAGGCTAGGATACTGTAAATCTTTCACTGTACTGGTCTTGTTTGTGCACACAAAGGGCAGCATTTAATATACCGCACAAATTTAAGAAACTTTATTACTGGATCAAGAATTTTTATTTTTTTAAAAGATTTTTTGGTCACAGGCCCTTTGAAGTGCCATGCAAAGTTACTTGCACTTTGGTAGATGAGCTAGAATCGTTTTTCATACCTCAAGGAAATAAATAAGATGCTTCACACTTATAGGTGAAAGTTTTGAAATAATAACAGGTCTGTTATAATTAAAGAATATGGCATCAATAGAAAATCTACAAAATTAACCCTAGTGTCAATTTTTGGCCAATATCTCCATTTGTGGATTGCAAGAAGTAACTAAAGTTGTCAGCATACCTCACATAATTTTACTAGTACTAACAACTCACATACATACGACAGCTGCAATTTCTCTCTTTCTCATGTCAGTTTGTGCTTCAAAGAACAACACAAGAGTGCACCATAGTTATTTTTACAGTTCTTCACATTATAACTGTGTCAGTATTTCCAGTATATTGACAGTTGCCTGATAAAATCGTGAATTCCAAGATTTTTCGAAAATCGTTTGGAGATTGGGTTATTTGATTGGTCTGTAGAAAGAGTCACCTTTTTTTTAAATCGCCGAACTTAAACTACCTCTTATCTTAGGCCGCTAGTCTATACTTTACAATGTCTTTCAGATCGCCATCCCGAACAATATACGACTACAATGTGTGTCGTGGAACAGACAGCATGGCTATATTGCCTGCGGAGGGGAGGAGGGACTGCTCAAAGTCGTCAAATTGGAAAGTCAAACAGGTACGCTTTTTCACTCCAGATAATCTGTAATAGCCTTTCTTTCATTCATTCATTTTTATTCATTTAAATCTGTCAATGAAGTCTTTTTGAAAATGAAAAGTCATTAATCAATTAGTTCATATAGGGCCCAAATCATTTTTTTTTTAATCAATACTTTATACTCACAAGAAAGTAGTGCTATAATGCCATGTTTTTTGTTTGTTTTTTTGGTTGGGGTTGGGTTGTTGTTGTTGTTTGTTTGTTTTTTTTTTGGGGGGGTTGGTTGGTATCTAAGACATGTATGTTTGATGATGTCACAGTCTGCTTCAGACTGATTTAAAGAATTGCTAAACGTAAGGTGCTTTTTTTAGATCGGTGAAGTAGTATGATTTGAATGTGTACAGCAGTGCTATCCTTATGAGATCGGCAGTGTTGTCCACTTTTGAGAAACTGAATAGGTTTTTTTTTCTCTTCCTGATTTTGTAACTCTTTGATGTGACCAAGTGATTTTCTTTATTTTAAATTATGGGTTTGTGTAGTACGTTTCAATCGTTATTGGAGACGGACGTTAACTAGGAGGTCCCGCCCTTTAAATAACCTAATAGTGTTGATAGGGGCGTTAAACCCATACCATTTTCTTTCTTTTTTCTCAGTCGTTATCTCTTTATCTTGGTTTGTAGGACAGGGTTTTCTTTTAATTCTCTCACACCTTTATAATGTCACGCCATGATTAAGTATCATTTGGCTTGTTACTCTCCCTTTACATGAGAAAGATTTCTATTGGATTGTCTTTACAGATACTGGCAACTAACTGACCTTGTTACTTGAGTCATAACTTTGTATTTGTCACGCAGGAAAAGACGCAAAGGTCAAAGGTCTCGCTGCACCGAGTAACCTGTCTATGAACCAGTCTCTGGAAGGACACAGTGGTAAGAATTTTGTCTCATCAACAAAATGTTGTTCTAAGCAATTTTTGTACTTGTAAAAGTAAGATGTTAATATTGTTGCATTGGGGTTGGCTGCCATTGTTGTAATTAATTAAGTAGGCAAAAGTAAAGACTCTGTTTCTTGATGAAGAAGGTTGATTTATTTAACATGTAAGAAAATGACATGTGGTCTGTCCTCTCTGGCTTCACTGAAAAGACTGAATCATAATGAGCATGAGTACATGTGGTTAAAACAGGAAGGAGGAGTGAGTAAAGATCACTAAGATCAGACAATCTTTGTTGTGAGGGTAGATAAAATAAAAGTACAATTACAGGGACATAATTCAAATTAATCATGGTAATATAGGGACCAACAATCCAGGATTTATTTGTTGCCCTTCTATATATTGATAATAAGCAATCTAATAGTCTAACAGATATAACGAAATTGTATATTCTTATTGTATATTATTGGTATGTTATGTAAGCTTTTGTGCCTTACTGTGGGTGATTGGTGGGTGCTCTGGTGTGGTTTGCTCCTTCTTTCCCATCAAACATCTATCGTCTTTATCTCCCCTCCTTCTTTTTTTGTGTTTGTTACTCCTTTGTAACACCTCTAATCTTCGGCACTTATATGACCTTACTGTATTGCAAGTGCCATAAAACTCTTACTAAAACTAAACTTTCATGCCTTATTGTGTTGCAAGTGCTGTAAAACTCTTACTAAAACAGAACTAATGGTCCAACCTTGTTGTTCAGGGGCTGTGCAAGTGGTTGCCTGGAACGAGCATCACCAGAAGCTGACCACGAGTGACCAGTACGGGCTCATCATTGTGTGGATGCTCTACAAAGGTGAGCCATGGGTGTCGACACAAATATATGTATGCGTCAAGACGCAGTGGAATCAGGCGCAGGTCAATTTTGGGGCAAAAATACATGAAAACCCCTCTATAGCTTGTCCTCCTTACTCCCGAGTTTAGCTGCATTGTCAGTTCACTGATGTCATTTTTTTTCCTTATTGTGAATTTAATTGCCGAGAAGTGACTGTGTATTTTGTTTTTGTAATAGAAACGAAGATTGATTATTGCTTTATTCAAACGAATAATGTTTTGTGGTCTGTCATCATCATTGCCTTTCTCACCCTGGATCAGGATATAGGCCACGAACAAACACTTTCCACCTTTCCATATCCTGGGATAGTTGCTTGATGTCATTCCATATCTTCCCACTTTTCTGTACATCCGCTTTGTGACTCTTCTCCAGGTTTGTGGTCGGTAAATAAGCAAAAAGTGTTGGGTCAGCTTTATGTCTATTGGAAAAGTTAATTCATGTCTTCAGAATGAAACACAAATCTGCTTCTTCTTTTTTTTTTTTGGCAAGGAAAAATTTTGGCGCATTCAATATCCTGTCTTTCAGAATAAAATATTAAATCTGCTTTTTTTTTCCCATGTAAGAATTTTGATGCAATCAATCACCTTACATGGGGATTTCTTTTTTTTTAATATACATGTTTTTGATTTTGTTTTTCAGGCTCGTGGTACGAGGAGATGATCAACAACCGGAACAAGTCGGTGGTCAAAGGCATGAAGTGGACGTCGGATGGACAGAAGATCTGTATTGTCTACGAGGATGGTACGTTGGATGTGCAGAAAAAAAGTCATGTTTTTTGTGGGGTTTTTTCGGGGGGGGGGGGGGGGGGGGTTATTGTTTATTTTGTTTTTGTGTTTTAAAAAAGTATTTTTGGTGAAATGTTTACTTTGGTTAGCAAGTCCAGGATCAGTGTTGTATTCTCTTGCTCCGATATTATTGGCTGCAGTGGTTTGCATCTTCAGACTAAACTGTGCAGGGAGGTTTGTGGGTGATCTCATTTACTGCACATGCAGACTAGAGACCCGCATCTGTCTGTCAAATGGACAATCATTTTAATTCTTATATTTCACCTGCTCATATCCAGATGGGAGTCCTACATTCTACCGTTGAAGCGAGTTGTTGGGACTCTGTCTAGTTGGCTTTACGGTGGCCATAAAATTTCTTCTGCCAAGTCTTGTGTCGTGGATTTAACCAAACACGAGGTTTTAATGACACGTAGCTTCTAGTCATTTTCTAACCACAGTGTTTTACGGCTCTCTTTACACAGGTGCTGTTATCGTCGGTTCCCTGGATGGCAACAGGATCTGGGGGAAAGAGCTAAGAGGTCTGCAGTTGGCGTGTGTGGAGGTGAGTCACCTTGAAAGCACCGGATTCCTGTCGCAAAATAGGAAGTTGGTACAAATGGAAATCCTACAGAACTGGGGCATTTAACACTTACAGTACCGAAAGCTCATACAGTGAAAAAAAACAAAAAAACCCAAGTACTGCACCAGTTTAGAACAGTTAAGCCATTGTAGAAAAAAAATATATAATTTTAAAAATCCTTCGCTGCTTAAGAAACAGTTAAACGCTGTAAGAAAATTCACATAGGTTCATCAACCATTCAGCTATCAAACAGAGTGACTTCTTCTGGTATTTACTTCAGTTCGGTGACTCTGTGATTTGTTTAATTATGTTTAGCGTGCCTGGTTGAGTCGGTGACTAAAGTCGCCGGCGGTAATGAGCGCATACTACCGGCCTGGTGACAAAAGTCACCAACAGTACTGAAGGTGTTAACAGTGATGATATTTAGGGCTTGAAAAGGAAGATTTTTCAACAGCTGTGGCAGAAACTCCCAAAAGTTGGATATTGGATAACATAATGTTAAACACTTTTAGTCACACAAACAGCAGTACAAAATACCACGTCTGGTCACCCAGCCAGGAGAGTGACTGCAACAGACTTCTCGGGCCTGGCACAGAACTGCGCTAGATGACCGAAACGGATAATTTTCACTGTAGCATTATTGCGCCAAGTGACCGCAAAGTGTTGTTTGGTGGATGTTTGACATAATAAATGTGGTAGCAGAGTGTGGTTCGTTCTTCTTCCTTAAATCAACAGGAAGTTTTTTTTATTATTGTTACAATACAAACAAAAGGGGGATCATCCTGATCCTACATATTCATTACATCAGCAGAACATTTCGCATTAAAATGTTTCATAAAATAATATTAATAATAATGAGGTGAGTTTATCTATTAACAAAAATTTTGCTGAAACAAAAATTTTATCTGTCCACAGTGGTCTCCGGATGCTAAGAAGATTCTTTTCGGCATCGCCAATGGAGAGGTCCAGGTTTTCGACAGTGTGGGAAATTTCATTGTAAGTTGTCTATTTAACTGCCTCCTTCCTCCTCCTATGTTCTATGATTTTCCTTGTACTTTTAAAACTTTAATAATGTTAACATTTAACTATGTGTTCTTTATTAGCACGCTTGTCAGCTGTTGTGTATTTCCCAGGATTTTGATTTGGTTAAAGGGAGGGAATTTGACAGTTATGAATAAAATTAATGAAGCTTGATAGTTTCATTTCTGCACTAAATGACTGTTTGTTGCTCCAATATTCTTAGATGTCGATACTAAAATGAATAAAGCTTGATAGTATCATTTCTGTTCTCAAATCTTTTTGTTTATTTGTAGAGTAAGCTCAAAGATTTACTGCCTGTCCAGTCTCTGGTAGGTTTTAATTCTTTTCTTTCCCTCTGTCGTTTCTCTCTATCTGTCTGTCTTAGTCTTTCTCTGCACAAGTAAATGACTGTTTGTTGCACCAATATTCTTTGATCTCTCTATTGTCAAATGAATAAAGCTTGATATCTTTTTTCATTTCTGTTCTCAAATCTCTTCAAAGGTTTACTGTTTGTTCAGCCACTGGTTGGTATTAATTGTTTTCTTTTGCTCTGTCTGCAAATTGACTTTTTAATTGTTGCACCAATATTCTTAGATCTCTATACTAAAGTGAATAAAGCTTGATATTTTCATTTCTTTTTAGTTTTAGTAGAGGTTTTACGGCACTCGCAACTGCATAAGGTCATATGAGCGCCAGAAGATTTGAGGTGTTGCAAGAGAGTAACAAACATAAAAAAGAAGAAAGGGAGATAACGACGATAGATGTTTGATAGGAAAGAAGGAGCAAACCACACTAGAGCACCCGCCAACCACCCACGTTTCATTTCTGATCACAAATCTCTTTTGGTCTATTTCTAGAGCAAGCTCAAGGTGTACTGCCTGTCCAACGTGACTGGGGCTATTCTGATCGCAGGCCTCGAGTGGTACAACGGACTCAATGGCTACGTGGAACCGAACTGCCCCTCGCTGGCACTCTGCTTCGACAACGGACGCTGCCAGATCATGAAGAATGAGATTGACGAAGGTGAGACGGGTTTGCTGATATTTTACAAATTCCGTCTTTATCCTTTTCCTTTCCTTTCTTCATCCCCACATTGTTTGTTCTTTATTTCATCCCACATTCATCATCATCATCATCATCATCGTCATCATCATCATCATCATCATCATCATCATCATCTTCATCATCATCATCATCATCATCATCATCCAGTGCCAGATCTGCGACAGACATCGGCGATCATGGTTCTCCATTCATTCCTTTGCTCGGATGCTCTAAAAAAAAGCCACGTTTCCCTGATCTTTCCCTGTTGTTACCCATTTGTTTAGATTCCCTAAGTATGTTGTTCTGGGCCTACCCCTGCCTCGCTTGCCCTCAATTTTGCCAGTGAGAGCTAGATGTTCAAGACCCTTATGTCTATTCAGGTGTCCCCAAAACTGCATTTGTCGTTTCCTGATTGTATCCCACATTACTTGGTCTTATTTAACACTTTGCCGTCTCTTCTAACCGGTCGGCGATGTTTACCACCCAGTTTCTTTGGATTTCCACAAAATGCCTTTGCGTTGTGATGGCGGAGTGTTAATTCCGCGCTTGTTATTATGACCTTATTGTGTTGCAAATGCGGTAAAACTCTTACTAAAACTAAAACGACAACTCTCCCACATCCCCCCAGATCCCATCCTGATCGACACGGGTATGCAGATTGCCCAGGTGGCCTGGAACCACACGGGCTCCATCCTGGCCATCGCCGGCTCCCAGCATGCCCTGGGGCAGGACAAGGACGTCAACGTCGTGCAGTTCTACACGCCGTTTGGCGAGGTAACGAAATTATGATCTTCTCAATCGCATCTCACTTGAAGTCCGGTGTCTGTCATCGTATATATTGGGCCGTCCTGCTCAGCATATCTTTGGTCCGTACAGCTTCTCTTGTAGTGTCAATGGGCTTGGCATGAGATGATTAATGATATGTGTCGCACCGCGGTGGAATCAGGCGCTCGTCAATTTTTGGGGCATATGGAATTATTTTTTTCATCTCAAAGCCAGTTTATTTACCTTGCTTTTGGTGAAAAAGTGTCCATCTATCTTGAATAGAAGTTGAGATATCTACGATTGAAAGAGGTGGGGGTTGGCAGGTTTCAGATGTAAAATTAGCACAAAAAGATGATCGTCGTCGTCAAAGTTTGGTGTCTTCCATAGCTTGAGAGTTCAGGGAAACCGCAAGTTTACATTCTATGTGCCTTTAATCAACCGGTTTCAGTAAAACCCAAGCAGAAATGTGTTCTTGGATGGACATAAAGATGTTGAGACCAAAAAAACATTTGATAAAAATAGCCAGACGAATGATAATCTACACTAAGAGACTTGGTTTTTATTCTTTAACTAATATGTGAGGCAGCGTGGTGGAATCAGGCTCTCGTCAATTTTGAGGCATGTAGAGTTATTGGTACCATCTTAAAGCTTGTTCACTTGTCTTTATTTGTATGAAAAAAATATCCATTTATCTTGAATACAAGTCGAGATATTTGCAAATAAAGGAGGTGGGGGTCACCTGTTTTCAGAGGTAAAATTAGTAAGAAAATAGCCGCCAAAGATTAGTTATTTCCTTAGATTAAGAGTCCGTGGTAACTGAAAATTTACATTTTTTGGTGAATTTTATCAACGTTTTTCAGAAAAATCCACACAGAAATGAGTTTTTTAATGGGCATGAAAGGTGTTCAGCCAAAACACGAAAATTTGATAAGAATTCACAAACCAGCTGAAAAATGCAAGTTTCTTCACTTTGATTATTTTGACGAGAGCCTGATTCCACCACGCTGCCTCACATATTATTTATCACCAAACTAAATCTGAGCAGATAGACTTGTTTATTAATTACATTTTTTAATGCTATCTTCTTGATCATCTCCAGCACATGCGCACACTGAAGGTTCCGGGCAAGGAGATGTTCTCGTGCTCCTGGGAGGGAGGCAGTCTGCGCATCGCTCTAGCTGTGGACAGCTTCATCTACTTCGCCAACATCAGGCTGGACTACAAGGTATGGGAATAAAATGACTTGAAGCTCAAAGTGAAAAAGTTACCTTTTTTATGATTCCCTAATTGAAAATTGTTATGTGCCCCATCAGCACATAATTTAAGAATAATGATGATAGTGGTAATGATAATAATGATAATGATAGTAATAATAATGATAATAATAATTATAATAATTAAAATAATGATAATTAAAAATTCAATTACTTTGCCAACATTAGCCTGGACTGCAAGGTATGGGTGAGAATGGCTCAAAGCTCACGATAAAAAGTTCAGTCATTTATCATGTGTAATTGAAAATGTTTTGTGCCCCATCAGCACATAATTTAAGAATAATGATGATAATAGTGATAACGATAATAATGCTAGTAATGATAATAATAATTATTATAATTTTAATAATAATGAAAATAATAATAATAATAAAGACAGTAATAATTATTATGATAATGATGATGATGATAATAATAATAATAATAACAATAGTGACAGTAATAATGATAATAGTAATAGTAATAATAATGATGATGATGATAATAATAATTGTATTTACATAGCACATATCCACGCTCAACAGCAAGCTCTCTTTGCTTTACAACTGTCATTACTCCAGCAGGCCCTAGAGCACTCAGAAACATTCTCGATCATATGTTTTTTGTATATGTGGGAAGCTTGCCAACAAAATGAGTTACTTCTCAGATTCAAGCCTTACGGAAATGGATAAATCTCGCTTACAGGTGAAGTTTTTACAATTTATAAGTATGAAATAAAGAAAGAAAGGTTATAATTAAAGAATATGGCATCAGTAGAAATTGTATAAATTTGATCCTAGTGTTGATTTTTGGCCAATATTTCTATTTGTGGATTGCGAGAAGTAACTCATTTTGTCAGTACGTCTCACATACGTGCGTGTGTTGTTCCATTCTTCAGTGGGGCTACTGCTCCAACACAGTGGTGTATTCCTTCACCAAGCCCGACCGGCCTGAGCACTGTGTCATCTTCTGGGACACCAAGAACAATGAGGTAACTTTTGGCTGTTGTTGTGGTTTTTGTTGTTGTTGGTGGTGGTGGTGGTGGTTGTTGTTGTTGGTGGTGGAGGTGGTTGTTGTTGTTCTAGTTGTTGGTGTTGTTGTTGTTGTTCCGTGATGTCAGGGAGTCAGTTCAAGGTGCTTGGCTCTACTTCGGATGTGACACAGATTTCACCATTAGACACATCTTAACAGAATATCCGGACTTACGAGAGACCCGAAGGAAGTCATTTAAATGTACCAAATTGAAGGATCTGTTCTCTGTTCGTTGATCCCAACAGAATTCTCAATTTCATAAACGCCAGTGGCCTATACAAAAAAAAATGTAACGTACTGCTATTTTGATATTATTTTTAATTTTTTAGATTTCGATTTTTATCATGAATTTTTAACATTTTAATCTGATCATTGACCAAATTGAGGCTGTGCTAAGACCTTTCGTGAAAGCAACCAACTTGTGTTTCGTGCGCTCATAGGACCGTATGTAGTGAGAGCGCTGTAAAACTCTAACTGAAATAAACTTATTCTTCATTCCCAGAGGGGGGACATTTCTCGTTCAAGCGCCGTAGAATTGTAAATGGGCTGACTTATGTCACGCTCATAACTGTGCCTGATCTACAACAGGGAACTGCTGCTTTTTCTTTCCCAATCCTTACTATTGTCATTTTCCTCTACTTCTTTTGTATTTTTGTCACTCTCTTGTGACCTGCTATTTCGGAGTGCCTTGATAGTCAAAGCAGACCTTGTGCTGTTGAAGCTAGAGAGGTGAGCAGACAAAGTCTGATTCCCTGTAAAGACTTCTCTGTTGACACCCACCCCTTGGCGCTCATATGACCTTATGCAGTTGCGAGCACCGTAAAACTCTCTATTATATTTTTTTTTTTAACTTGTTCTTTAGATGAAAGAAATACAAAGTCTCGTCCCCTTTGACGTACTGGCAATATTCAGCAACTTTTTGAGTTTTTATTTCTTTACCTTTTCTCCTTTTGGCACCTACGAGAATTTCAGGCATCAACCAAAGGTTATAATGTCCTTTTTTCCATATTAGCAGGCTGCTTTCAACTGATATTATCTCTGATATAAGGCTATTTGCTGGTCAAATTTATGGAACCCCCACGAATTGCTAAAGCCTCAAGTCAATGATTTAGATAGGTTGATACCAATGGCTGGAACAAAGCAACAGGAACTTTTTTAATAACATCATGGTATGGTTGCTACGGGGTTCCGACATACTTCTGCCATTTTGATTGTTTTGACAAACACTGAAAATCAATTTCTCTACTCGTTTTTTTAATATCATCAATCAATTCCTACTTTGCTGGAGCAATCTTCTAAACTGAGTGGCAAGATATTTTGACAATCTTTTAAAGAGGAAGTTTTTTATCTTCTTTTCTTCTTCCTGTTACATACGATACTCTGTCACCTACCGTATAGCTTTTTACCAACCCTGTACTCAGGCATACAAAAAAACACACACATGATATAATGAAAGAAAATGTTATCTCGATGACAGAGAAGTGAATTTAATTATGATATAATCAAACTTTGGCTGCAATTGTCAGGAAAGAGGTGCCACTTCTGTGCCATTTTGGCTCCCACGAGATTCCCTAAGGCCTTTGCAGGTACACCGTGATCTTGTTCGCAAATTGGTTCGTTTTAGCAGGTTTACGCTTGTTCTCGTTTTTTTTTTTTAATTTGTAAATGCTTGATCTATTTTTGATCCTGTAAGTCTAGGCTTTCTTTTGTTGTTTTGTATTAACTTGACCCTCATTTGATGCAGGGAGATGATTGTTTTGTTTGTTCTCGTCACCTGTTCTTTTGATCCCTATTAGAACTTTGTCAGAAAGTTATGGGCTTTATTTGTTTATCAGGACCTCTTCTTTCTTTCTCTCTGATCCCATTAATTTTTTCCCCAGAATTTGGATTTCCTTATTTTCACTTTGAAATTTTACTGTACATAATTTTTATAATTGTTTGAGATGGCTTTATCATCTGATTAATTGGTCTGCTTTAATAATATACTAGCTGGGCCCCCTTTCGTTGAAAGGAATGATCGGTGCTTTAATATCAACTAAAAAGTCATTGGCCTACTATATTTACACTCTACTGGAATGGGGAAATAAATCTTGAGAGATGCAAACAATTATAAGGTCTAGATCTATACTCTCAAAACAAAATGCGCCTCGCGAAATATCACTTCCGGATTTTCTAAAATTGCAGAGACAGAAGCGTCGGCCTACAAAAGCGATCGGCGAAATAAAGAAATTTAGCTTTTTGCAGGAAAACTGTCTCAAAACTGAAAAAACCAAAGGCGTCATGCTCTGGAGAATATTTTAAAGAATCTTTTGGCGAAGACCGCATGTCGATCGATGCAGCCATTAAAAAGCCTTTTGAATAGCAACATTCGGCCACCACAAATAGATAATAGAAGATAGGCCCAGAATCTTGAATAAGATTTCCATCCTATTTTATTTAATTTGCTCAATAAAGTTTATCTTGTAGCCTTTACAGCCTTCAGTGAGAAGTTAACGCCACAAAATATGTAAATACTTTTTCAAAATTTCAGCGGAGTTTAACTTTTTTTGGGGGGGGGGGGTTAAAGCTCACAAACAATTTACGTAAAGAAGGCCTGTGGGTGGTTGGCGGGTGCTCTGGTGTGGTTTGCTTCTTCTTTCCTATCAAACATCTATCGTCCTTATCTCCCCTCCTTCTTTTTTATGTTTGTTACTCTCTTGTAACACCTCTAATCTTCTGGCACTCATATGACTTTATACAGTTGCGAGCGCCGTAAAACCTCTACTAAAACATAAAACGAAGAGGGCCCCAAAAAAATTGCTGCAATGCCCTTTTTGTTCATGAGATCTCCTGTTGATAGCATCGACATCTTGCTGAATACGGTGTCCCTATGGAAGATTCTAATTTTAAATAAAGCAAAGTAAGGGTTTCTCTTCCTTTTTTTTTTTTTTATTATGGAAAGTTTTTCTGTATTTTACACACTTAGGTCATTTTATTTCGGAGAGAGGAGATTCCCTTTCCTTTTTTTTTTTTTTTTTTTACAAATGTTACTTTCTTGTAACACCTCCTATCTTCGACACTTATATGACCTAATTGTGTTGCAAGTGCCGTAAAACCCTTACTGTTAAAAATAAAAATATTTTCACTTGGATATTTTTTTTTTGGTCTCCCCAGAAATATGTGAAATATGTGAAAAATCTCATCAGTATCACCGCCTGTGGTGATTATTGTTGCCTAGCAACCCGCGGCGATGAACCCACCAATCAGGTAAGAGAACATGATTTCCTTACACACTACAAACTTCAACACCCTCACCCACCACCATCCATCGCCCACCATGAACCTCCAACTCACCTGGCCCAATTAATCACGATTTCCCAACCTGCTATGAACCTCAATACCCTCACCCACCATCCATCACCCACCATGAACCTCCAACCCACCTGGCCCAATTAATCATGATTTCCCAACCTGCTATGAACCTCAATACCCTCACCCACCATCCATCACCCACCATGAACCTCCAACCCACCTGGCCACCATTAATCACGATTTCCCAACCTGCTATGAACCTCAATACCCTCAACCACCATCCATCACCCACCACTACACACATTCATATATGCGTACATACGTCTTCCCTCCAGTTTGTCCTAGTCCTCTGCAACTCGATTGGGACGCCGCTAGACTCTAAGTACATTGAGATGGAGCCCGTGTACCTGTGCATGACCCGAACCCAGATCATCTGCGCCACCAAGGAGGCTGTCTACTGCTGGCAGTTCAAGAACCCCAAGAAACTGGCCACGCTGGAGATGGCTTCAAAGAGAAAGGCCGGATCAGAGAAGTGAGTTTTTTTGGGGGGTTTGTGTGTGTGTTGGGGGGGGGGGGGCGGTATATGTTTTGTTTTTGTTGCATTGAGAAGTGGGTTTTATTCTTTTGTGTGTGGGGGTGAGGGAGGGGGGTTCTATGTTTTGTGTTGTTGCACTGAGAAGTGGGGTTTTTCTTTTTTGTGTGGGGGGGGGGGTTGGGGGGGGGAGGTTTTTTTTGATTTGTTGCCCAGAGAAGTGGGGGATTTTGTGTGTTATTTTGTATGTGTGTTTTTTTCTGTGGTTTTTATCTGTTTTGTTGCACTGTATGCTTCCCAGGAAGTTGAGATTATTGTTTCAGAATGCTATCAGGTCTGCTGAGGTAATATATACATTGTTATGCGCACAGAGCTTGCTGTTGAGCGGTTTATGATGCTCAAAACTTGTTTGACAAAATTGGCTGCATACGAAGGAAAAACAGCCTTCTGTGTACAAAAAAAAAGTGAAATAAGGTCAATTAAAAATTTGGTCCTTATAAAGTAATGGAGTATCGTTTATGTTTTGTTTCAGACTGGTGCACATCGATGATATTCCGTCGGGCTCCACCACCGGCCAGGAGGAGATTGACTTCAGCAAGGCCTACGCTGTACGTTGAGCTTTTTTTACTGTATATGTGAGACATCGTGGTGAAAGCAGGTGCTCGTTAAAATAATGAAATCGAAGAAATCGGCATTTCTTACTTTATATGTTGGGCGTCATGGGGGAAATCAGGCACTTGTCAAAAAAAGGAATCAAAGAAATCTGAATTTTTTGGGCCGATGGACAATTTGTGAGGCATCGTGGTGAAATCAGGCTCCCGTCAAAATAATTAAATCAAAGAAGCTGACATTTTTATGTCCGTTTGGCAATTTTTATCGAATTTTCTTTTATTTTGGCTCAACACCTTTTTTTATATCAATTTAGAAACACATTTTTGTTTGGATTTTTCTGAAAAAGATTGATTAAAGGCACAAAAAATATTAATTTTCAGTTTCCAAGGACTCTCAGGCTATGGAAGTCACCAAATTTTGGCAGTTATTTTCTCTTTAATTTTACATCTGAAATCGGGCGATCCTAACCTCCTTCATTCGCAAATATCTCGACTTCTATTCAACATAGATGGATATTTTTTTCACCAAAAGGAAGGCAAATGAACAGGCTTTAAGATGATACCAATAACCCCAAATGCCTGAAAATTGACGAGCGCCTGATTCCACCGGGTCGTGACACATTTATAACTCTCACCTTCCCACTCTTCATTCTGAACTCTGTGTGTGCACTAAAGATAATGTACAGTGGAGTGGGCTTAAACGGAAGTCTATTTTCTTATATCTGGGGTATAATTTAATATTATTTTTTCTTATGTCTAGAGTAGGCCTATGTACAATTTAGTAATAATTTTTGCTTATATCTGAGGTACAATTTAATTATTTTTTTATTTCTAGGATACAATTTAATATAATTTTTTTCTTATATCTGGGGTACAATTTAATATTATTTTTTTCTTTTATCTGGGGCACAATTTAATATTATTTTTTTCTTTTATCTGGGGTACAATTTAATATTATTTTTTTCTTATATCTGGGGTACAATTTAATATTATTTTTTTCTTTTATCTGGGGCACAATTTAATATTATTTTTTTCTTTTATTTGGGGTACAATTTAATATTATTTTTTTCTTATATCTGGGGTACAATTTAATATTATTTTGTCTTTTATCAGGGGAGCAATTGAATATAATTTTTTGCTTTATCTGGCATACAATTTAATATTAATTTGTCTTATATCTGGGGTACAATTGAATTTTATTTTTGCCTTATATCTGGAGTTTTGTCCTATATTGAACAATTTTTCTGATCTTTTCCCCTGCAGGACACGGAGGACCCAATCTGCTGTATCTGTGCCTCCGACAAGACCCTGATGGTGGTGAGTGCCACTTGACTGTGTCTTTTAAAAATTTTCTTTTAATTTGTAATTTTTTAATTTAAAAAAAAATTATTTTTTTGGGGGGGGGAGGAGATGATATAGGATCCTCATCATCATCTCTAGGAGGGGGGAGGGTTTCCAGTTTTACTGCTGTGTGCGTATCTGTTCCGGGCTTAACGGGGTTGTTTCACATAAAACCACCGCCATAGCAAGCTGGTGGGATCTCATTTTGTCACTTTTCAAATGCTTATTCTTTTGTTTCTTCTTTTCATGGTGGCGTCGGTAGCCTAGTGGTTAGGCTACCGGACTCGTAATTGTGAGATTGCGGGTTCGGGGGTTGGAGCCTCGGCTTGGTCGAACATTGTGTCCCTGGGAAAGGCACTTTACATGAATTTCCCACTTGGCTCGGTCCTTTCGGAGATGGACGTTAAACTCGGAGTTCCCGCCTCTTAAATAACGTAATAGTGTTGATGTTGGAGTTTCAACATTTCACTTTCTTTCCATCATTTTTCTCCGCACTGTTTACTTGTCCTGTCAGGGTCGAGAGTCAGGAACTCTGATTCGCTACTCGCTGCCGATGGTGGCCTTGACCCACAAGTACACGCTTTCCTGCCGGCCCCATCAGCTCAGCCTCAACTGCAACTCAAGGTCAGTATGTATACTGAGGCATCGTGGTGAAATCAGGGGCTCGTCAAAACAATGAAGTTGAAGAAACAGACATTTATTTATTCGCTATTCTTGGCCTGGAGTAATAATAATAAATAGCATTTATGCTGCGCTTTTCCATTTTCTAAAAAATGCTCAATGCGCTTTACATTAAAAAAGAGATCACATCTTAAAAATTAATTGGCGTGTGTACGTAAAACACAGTATTATGCATATATATATTATTTATATGTATAAAAGTCTGAGAGTAATGGCCAGATTCTGTCCCTGTTGTTTCATACTCAAATTAAGAATTAAGAGTCTCTCATAGCAGTCATCCTGTAGATACCATGATAAGAGATATGGGCACAACCTGTACTTTTTCATTATGGAAACTAAAACAGGGATTAACTAACTTAAATTTGAACATTGTGTAGGTGGTTGGCGGGTGCCCTGGTGTGCTTTGCCCCTTCTTTACTATCAAACATCTATCATCTTTTTCTCTCCTCCTCCTCTTTTTTTATTTGTTACTCACTTGTAACTCCTCTTATCTTTGGCACTTATATTATGATGAAATTGTTTTGTAAGTGCGTATAAAACGCTTATTAAAACAACACGTGGGTGGTTGGCGGGTGCTCTGGTGTGGTTTGCTTCTTATTTCCTATCAAACATCTATCATCCTTATCTTTCCTCTTCCTGCTTTTTGCATGTCACTCTCTTGTAACACCTCTAATCTTTGGCACTTATGTTATGAAGTAATTGTATTGTAAGTGCGTGTAAAATGCTTACTGAAACAAAACAAAGAATTGGTTCAATCCATTTTCTTTTTTTTTTTTTTTATGAAGCCGTGTGGCCATCATCGACATAGCGGGAGTCCTCTCCTTCTTTGACCTTGACACTCGAGTGACGGACGCAGACGGCAGAGAGGTTATCGGCGAGCACCTCGGATTCGAACGCAAAGATGTCTGGGACATGAAATGGGCAGAGGTATTTATTGGGTTGTCGACTACTCTTTGCTTTAACTCTTACAGTACTGCTGGCGACTTTAGTCTCCGAAGCAACCAGGCGTACCAAACATAATTAAACAAACAATGGACGCACTGCACTGAAGTAAGTACCAAAGGAAGTCACTCTATATGATAGCGGAATGGTTGATAAATTTTTATAACATGTTTCTTGGGCTGCCAAGGTTTTTTTCAATTTAAAAAAATCCTACCACGGCTTCAGCGTTCTAAACTGGGGCGGTAGTTGACGGTTTTTCATTATATGAGCCTGCGGTACTGTAAGTGTTAAAGAGAATGAAAAAATTTTATCTTCTCTGCCTCATCAATGCTACTCTGCTGGTCCTTCAACCTGTGGTGCGACTGATTTTTGAGTATGTGGCCATTTTTTGTAATGATTGATAATGATCATTAGAAGAAGAAGAAGAAAAGCAACAACAGTTATGATAATAAAAATAGTAATAATTGATAATAATAATAATAGTATTAATGAAGTTTATAAAGTTTACTAATATGTTGCTTCCTTTGTATGTTATAACATGTTGGGGTTTTTGTTTTGTTTTTTGGTTTTTTTCCATCTTTGCACCTGCCATTGTATCTACGATGAACCTGTGAAAAGAACAATTACAGTTTTGTGTAAATTTGTTTTTTGTTTTTTTTAATGTGGTCTTCGTCTTTTCTGTCTATCCAGGACAATCCGGAGTTGTTTGCCGTCATGGAGAAGACGAGGATGTACATTTTCCGTAACCTTGACCCTGAGGTTTGTGTGTTTGCGCCCCCCTCCCACACACACACACACACACACACACACACACACACACACACACACACACACACACACACACAAACACACACACACACACACACACAAACACACACACACACACACACACACACACAAACACACACACACACACACAAACACACACACACACACAAAAACACACACACACACACACACACACACACACAAACACACACACACACACACACACACACACACACACAAACACACACACACACACACAACAATGTCTGTTTTCACTCCCTGTCAGCGTTTTTAATCAAAGTTTTAGAGCATGCAGAGGTTTTTTTCAGTCTCTCTCCGAGTCAACAATTTTCTCCTTTTGACTACCGTTATGTCTTTCATTCATTTTGAGTAATAATTATAATAAAAATAATAATAATGAATATCAAAATAATAATAATAATAACAGCAATAGTAATAATAAAAATAATAATAATAGTGGTAATTATAATATTAATAATAATGATATTCATAATAATAATAAAAATGATAATGTAATAATAAGAATTGTAATAATAATGGAGTTCATAATAATAACCCTCCCCCTCCACCCTCCCCCTCCCCTCCTCGTGGTTCACCTCCCTCCAGGAACCCATCCAAAGCTCAGGCTACATCTGCCAGTTCAGCGACCTACAGATCAAATCTGTGCTGTTGGACGAGATCATGAAAGACCCGGAGAACCCCACCAAGGATGATGTGATGGAGATGGAGATTAAGGTGGGTGGGTGTGTCTGTGTGTGGGTGTGTGTCTGTGTGTGTGTTTGTGTGTGAGAGAGAGAGACACAGAGAGAGAGGGAGAGAGAGAGAGAAAGAGATCGTGAAAGACCCTGAGAATCCCACTAAGGATGATGTGATGGAGATGGAGATTAAGGTGTGTGTGTGGGTGTGTGTGTGTGTATATGTGTGTGTGTGTGAGAGAGAGAAAGAGAGAGAGAGAGAGATCATGAAAGACCCGGAGAACCCCACCAAGGATGATGTGATGGAGATGGAGATTAAGGTGTGTGGGTGTGTCTGTGTGTGAGAGAGAGAGATAGACTGAGATAGACACAGAGAGAGAGAGAGATCATGAAAGACCCAGAGAACCCTACGAAGGATGATGCGATGGAGATGGAGATTAAGGTGTGGGTATGTGTGTGTGTGCGTGTGAGAGAGAGAGAGAGAGAGATAGACTGAGATAGACACAGAGAGAGAGAGAGAGATCATGAAAGACCCAGAGAACCCTACGAAGGATGATGCGATGGAGATGGAGATTAAGGTGTGGGTATGTGTGTGTGTGCGTGTGAGAGAGAGAGAGAGAGAGATAGACTGAGATAGACACAGAGAGAGAGAGAGAGATCATGAAAGACCCAGAGAACCCTACGAAGGATGATGCGATGGAGATGGAGATTAAGGTGTGTGTTTTTGTGTGTGTGTGAGAGAGAGAGAGAGAGAGAGAGAACTTACTAAGGACGATGTGATGGAGATGGAGATTAAGATATGTGTGTGTAAAGTGGGAAATAGAAGTCACTGCGAGATATATCGCTCAGCAGAAGTTCTAGTGCTTTATTAGCGCGCCGTCTGTTTGTTGGTGGTACTTTATTAGCACCCTGTTTGTTTGTCTGTGGTGCTTAATTAGTATAGCATCCGTTTGTTTGTGGTATTTAATTAGAATAGCATCCGTTTGTTTGTGGTATTTAATTAGAATAGCATCCGTTTGTTTGTGGTATTTAATTAGAATAGCATCCGTTTGTTTGTGGTATTTAATTAGAATAGCATCCGTTTGTTTGTGGTACTTAATTAGTATAGCATCTGTTTGTTTGTGGTACTTGATTAGTATAGCATCCGTTTGTTTGTGGTACTTGATTAGTATAGCATCCGTTTGTTTGTGGTACTTAATTAGTAAAGCATCCGTTTGTTTGTGGTACTTGATTAGTGTAGCATCCGTTTGTGGTACTTGATTAGTATGGTGTCTGTATGTTTGTTTGTGGTACTTAATTAGTATGGTGTCTGTTTGTTTGAGGTACTTATTTGATAGAGCGTCTGTATGTTTATGGTCTGTCTTCACAGTCTCTGCGTGACACCAGGGATCTTCTGGAGAAAGTGGGCATTGCCGACGCACAACAGTTTGTGGAGGAGAACCCGCACCCTCGTTTGTGGTGAGTGCTGGTTGTTGGTCGTGGGGGGAGGGGGGTTGGGATGGGATTGGCTCGTGGTTGGGATGGGCTAAAAGTAGTGGTTGGGTTTGGTGGTAGGTGAGGTCAGATGGTAGGTATGATGAGATGGTGGGTGGGATTGGCTGGTGGGATCTGGTGATTGGTGGGATTGGGGTTGAATCTTTCATGCCCCAATCTCTTAACATACAATACATTAGTCAATGTATCTGTCTCTTTTTTAAATTCATTCATACATTTGTCCATCCATCCATCCATCCTTCCATCTGTTTATCTTACAATTCATCCAGCTGTCAATCTTTTCTTCAGTCCGTCCTTTTTTAACACTTTTTCATCTTTTCATTATTCATTCAGCCTTCTATTCCCTCATTTTCTCTCTCCCCCTTCCTCCACCAGGCGTCTGCTGGCCGAGTCTGCCCTGGAGCAGCTCAATCTCAAGGTTGCAGAGACAGCGTTTGTGCGCTGTAAGGATTACCAGGGCATTGAGTTTGTCAAGAGGCTGGGGAATCTTCAGGTACGTGTGTGTGTATGTGTGTGTGTGTGAGAGAGAGAGAGAGAGAGAGAGAGAGACAGCCTTTGTGCGCTGTAAGGATTACCAGGGCATTGAGTTTGTCAAGAGGCTGGGGAATCTTCAGGTACGTGTGTGTGTATGTGTGTGTGTGTGAGAGAGAGAGAGAGAGAGAGACAGCCTTTGTGCGCTGTAAGGATTACCAGGGCATTGAGTTTGTCAAGAGGCTGGGGAATCTTCAGGTACATGTATGTGTGTGTGTCTATGTGTGTGTGTGTGTGTTGTATTTCCCTGTACAGAATCACCTTTTTATTTATGTTTCCCAGTACAGAATTAACTTTATATTTTTTTCCCTGAGCAAAATTATTTATGTTTCCCTAAACAAAATGGACTTTTTATTTACGTGTCTGTGTGCAAAATAAACTTTTTATTTACATTTCCCTGTACAGAATGAACTTTTTATTTATTTTTCCGCAGGCTTCCTTATAGAAAATGAACTTTTTATTTCTGTTTCCGCAGGCTAAATATTATGTATGTTTCTTTATAGAAAATGGACTTTTTATTTATATTTCCCAATTCAAATGAATTTTTTTTGTACAGAAGAAACTTTGTATTTACATTTCCCTGTACAGAATGACCGTTGAACGGTTTATTTTCATTTTTTTCTCCGTGTGTGTGTTCAGAATGAGCAGATCAAACAAGCCGAGGTGGCCTCCTACTTCCGCCGCTTCGAGGACGCTGAGAAAGTCTACCTCACTATGGACCGCAGGTAGCCCACTCAGACACTTTCCTCCTCCTCTCCGGCTACTCTCCCGTCTTTCTCTTTGCTTCTCCTCGGCCTCACTCACTCTTCTTCCACTTTCTCATGTTTAGTTTTATTGTAAGAGTTTTACAGCGCTCGTAACTGCATAAGGTTGTATGAGTGCGTGAAACACAAGCTGGTTGCATTCACTACAGTTTTTTGCACGGCTTCATTTTGGTCAATGATCAGATTAAAGTGTAAAAACTTAGTGGTAAAAATCTCAAACTAAAAATGAAAATTTACGTATTATCAAAATAACAGTATATTGCATTTATATTTATTGAAATGGCCAAAAACCTTTATAAAATTGAGAATTCTGCTGGGATCAACGACGGTCTTGTAATTTAACACATTTAAAATACTTCCTCCGGGTCTCTCTTCTGTTCACCATACATGTTTTTGTTTTTATGTTCACTGAATTTATTTTTGTTTTTTTTATTTTCACTGTACGCATTTTTGTTTTTTATGTTCGCTGTACATGTTTTTGTTTTTCACCATACACCTTTTTGTTTTTGTGTTCACTGTAACAGTTTTGTTTTTGTGTTCACTGTAACAGTTTTGTTTTTGTGTTCACTGTAACAGTTTTGTTTTTGTGTTCACTGT